TTGTTTTTAACTTAGCTGTTATTGCTCATTTAATTATTATAATACAATTTCTAAAGTAAAGAAGAAAATAAAAACTAGACCATGTTGTAATATATATATATATATATATATATATATATATTATTTTTAGCAATAACTTTTTTTTTGTCTGATTTTAATGTTTCTTAGCTTAGCACTTGTCTGAAATTTAGTGTCTTTGTAACTTTCATCACTGTTTGAAATATTGTTTCAAGAAAAATTTTAACAGTCTTCTTCATCCAGCTTTTCCTTGATGCTTGTCTGTTGAAATCCATAACTTTTTGGATGTGTTATTATAAAATTTTAATAGGATTAGATTTATTTCAATCCTTTCATATACTTCCTTTTTTTTGTAGTGTAACCTTACTTTGATATGTTTTGACATCTGCTAAAAATTTAGTTAAAAATAATTTTCTATTATGTACATTTTGTTGTATTATATGTAAAAAATGATTAGCAGTATGCACATTCTTGTTGATTACGAAACAAACACAGAAACTTATTCTATGTATGTTGTTATTTGTTTACACATGTGAAACCTTTCCTGTTTTTACATGTTATGGTCAAGTTTTAAACCAGTTTGGTTATGGAGAAAGCTCTACTTAAAAAGGGTGAACCATTTAATTATATAACCATAAATCAGTAACCAGCTACTTTAGAGTAATATAATTTCATGTCAAAGAGTGAAGTATGTTATACAACAAGTCAGTTTCTAACATTTGCTGGAGTTAAAAATTTTCTGGGGGGGTGGGGGGTTGCAAGTGTCATCCCCCCTAACCCGTGGACACCCATGGTTTAGTGGGTAAGAGTTATATTTATTTATTGGAACGTTTTTATGCTGTTAATAAATTATCTGTATCTGTTATTATTATTTCTAACTGTAATATTGTTAATGTGTTTGTATCACTTTGTTTTACACATTTTAGATTGTCAGCTCATAACATTACCTTTCGACCTGCAGAATGGATGTTGATTAGAATTATTCTTCTATTGATGTAAGTATTTATACTGTAATGTATTAAAACAAAAAACTACCCAATAAACTAATTCTCAAAACAAAACTAAGGAAGGAGATGTTGGAAAACAGAAAAGTACTTTCCTAAACGCTAATTACAAATGAAATAAAGTGTAATGAAAGTTTTTGCCAACTTATCACTGCATGTCTCAAATTCTTATAAATAAGATAAAACATCAAACTTCCTTGTTATGGCATTACTTCAAAAGGAAATATAATAGAAGGAAAGATCTATTATAATAACTGTTCTCAAAAATCTTCAAAGGTAGATTTTTTGGAAAGGTGGTAACATGTATGTTAACAATTATGTTTTTTCATGTTTTTGGTGAAATGTGTAATATGTAGTTAGAATATAACCTATTTTTTTAATGTACAAATGATCTTTTTAGAAATTATATCATCAGTTAAAAAAATGATTAATTTTGGAAATTTACATTATCTTAAAATTTTGCCCATACAGGGTTTGATTCCTGTAGGGGCACAGCACAAATACAAACAAACTTAAAATTTTCATAACTTACATTGTGTACTCAATACATGAGAATTTTATGATGTGGTGTTGGGATGGCATATATCTTCTTTAGAGTATTAACCACCATTTGAGTGACATTTTTTAGTTTGTTTTATATGATACCATTATTTAGTTTGTATTATATGATACCGTTATTTAGTTTGTATTATGATACCGTTATTTAGTTTGTATTATGATACCGTTATTTAGTTTGTATTATGATACCATTATTTAGTTTGTATTATATGATACCGTTATTTAGTTTGTATTATATGATACCGTTATTTAGTTTGTATTATGATACTGTTATTTAGTTTGTATTATATGATACCATTATTTAGTTTGTTTTATATGATACTGTTATTTAGTTTGTATTATATGATACCATTATTTAGTTTGTATTATATGATACCGTTACTTAGTTTGTATTATATGATACCGTTACTTAGTTTGTATTATATGATACCGTTATTTAGTTTGTATTATATGATACTTTCTCTTTCATATTTTTGTTTTTAATATAGTGAACTCTGATCAATAAACTAAAGCCATTTTTAAAAGCTGCAACAAACTTATCATTACTTCCAAATACATTTTATAATGTGTAACTTATATCAATAGCATCAACTCATTGTTATTTTCATGAAATTATATGTCACATTGATTAACGGACATCTCTAAACAAAGAAAATTACTCTTGAAATAATAGACTTCATGGTTAGTCCCACATTTTTTTTACTAGTATTGCTAAGATCGGAAGGATATACTGGTATTAAAATTAAAATAACCTATCAAGTTATTTAGATGAATTTTCAAATCTGTAATTAATTTCACTGTAGTTTCCCCTACTTGTGTTAGTAACATAGTTAATTTCAAGCACCACTATTCTGTACTTTTATTTATATCCTTTCATTTTTTTTTTTACAATTTAAAACTAATAAAAATTATAAACAAAAGTAACTGTATTTAGAATAACTGTAATTATAGTATACTTGCACTTATTTTTAAACCTGTTTTCTTGCAAGTACTTTTATCTGAATTTGCATTTGGTTTCTCATCCTTAGTTGTTATTTTTGTATCTAAAGGAGGAAGATAAGCCTGTATTAATTCCTATTGTTAATTATTATTATTTTTAATTTTGTGCAGGTTGGCAAGAAAGAATGAAGACATACAAGTCAGTTTAAATAGAAGTTATTCGCAAAAATATTTAAATTCATTATTACAAGAGTTTAAGACTTCCTTGTCCCATTTGGAGCAGACAGTGTTGCCAAAGATACTAGACCACAGACGTATTTTGCAGAACTGACATTATTAACCATATTATTTTGTTGTATTATAAATGGAGATTGTGTACAGTGTGTGAGTGAATTGCTATCATTTTTACATGTGTCTTTTGTTGCTTTCCTGTGTACTATATATCACAATTTACTTTGTTTTAGGTACTAAATGTAACAAAAATATAAATCATGGTCTGTAATCATGAGTAGAAACGTAATGTTTAAACTAAAATGCAACCTACAATCACTTAAGGTTGAGTAAGCGTATATAGGTAAAAGTTGTAGATGGAAAAAAAAAAAAGAATTGAAATATTATGCTTATTTAATCAATCTTTGATCGGTCTGGCATGGCCAGGTGGTTAGGGCGCTCGACTAGCAATCTGAGGGTCGCGGGTTCGAATCTCCGTCCCACCAAACATGCTCACCCTTTCAGCCATGGGGGCATTACATTGTGATGATCAATCCCACTATTCGTTGGTAAAAGAGTAGCCCAAGAGTTGGCGGTGGGCAGTGATGACTAGCTGTCTTCCCTGTAGTCCTACACTGCTAAATTAGGGACGGCTAGTACAGATAGCTCTCGTGTAGCTTTGCGCAAAATTCAAAACAAACAATCTTTGATTTTTTTGTATTGGAAACTTATATTCCTTTTGTGCATTCACAATGATTTTCTCAATTTTTTTTCATCATGTGTACATAGGGATATACATAATTGATGATGGTATATTCCACTCATACTTCTAATTTGACATTTTACTACTTTTCACTTGGATATGATAGTATGTGTAACCAGTGCTTGAGTTGTAAAAAGTTAACAAGTGGAATGGTCAGGTTTGATGTCCAATTTTCAAACAGCAGTCCAATGTTGCACAAATCTGCTTGAGTAGTTTAACAACAGGAACAATTTGATAACAAAAAAAAGTTAACAGCCAGAACTGCGTTTCAGTTTGTTCCTTCAAGCACTGTGTAACCAAAGTCATTACCATTGACTCCTGTGCTCTGAATGTTTAGTTTTGTGTTATATAATACTGTCTTTTTACATGTTTGTTTGTAATGTACTTTTTTTCCCCACTTGTATCACTAATAAAGTTAAATTTAATATTAAGCAGTATCTGTAACTTTTATTTATGTAATAAAAATTTTGTTTACAATTTGAAAGGGAAAGAAGTCAGGGACTCAAGTAACTAAACTTGGAATTTTGTAATTATATTGAAGTGTAATTTTGAGTTTTCAAAACTCCATGTCATCTAAATAATGAATGAAACTACCATATAACACAACTAAATCTTCAGAGCATACATGTTTATAGCAATCAAACCCCATGGTTACACTATACATCATCACTGAAGTAATTTTTTTACCGTATATCTTTTATTCATCGACTTTTCATGAAATCTATAGAAAACTAAATCGTTTACGTGTTTAAAATTATATAAATGTTTATTGATATAAAAAAATTCAGTGTATGTGTGTGTCACGTAACTCCTCCTAAACCGCTCATCGCATCTACTTTTAATTGATACCAACCGAATGGTCTTGTTCCCGAGGTTTGCACAAAGGTAAATATTTTCCCCCCAAACTCCTTAGGGTACCCGGGTATTTCACGAAAGCACTTTTATGGGGATTCCCCAAAGCGACCCAAATTTGGCATTGATTTACATTAGAGCACGTAGATAAGTAGGCTTACTAATTACCCTTCGTAACTTGGTTAAAGAAATTAAATTTGCATTATAGTGGCAAATTTGTTGAACTACTATTTTGCAGTTTAATGATAATTTTTTACACATTAAAAAACGGATGGGGTGATAAAACCTGTAAATGTGGGCCATGGGCCAACGGGTTCGCAAGTCTTCCATAAATTCTAACCTTTGTACCAAATAGCATCATCTCTTGTCAGTAACTTTTGTGTAGTTCATATTAGGTTAAATTTTGTCTCAACACAGTAGATATATATTTGTTTCAAACTTTACAAATCTTGGAATAAGGAAATAAACTCTTTGGTAAATATGTTTAACATGTGTGTTTAAGAACAACAGTATTTTAACTCGGTTTAATGTAATTACAGGAATGGTGTTTAGGTTAGGCCCGAGTTGATTCCAACTAGTTTCAAAAACTATTTTTAGATTATACCTGAAAGTATTTGCCTAAACTTTTATATTCTTTTGTGAAGCTATGCTTCAACCACATATCTAGTATGTTCCTAATTAGAACATTATAAAGTGTTAAAATATGTTATTAATACAAAATACACGTTTTGGGGGAGAGATGTGATACTTGCATACTATAACCTTCTTCTCTATTATCTTAAGCTTTTCGTTATGCTGAATTTAAAAATTTTCAATGTAATTCAGTAAAATACAAGAAAATTGCAGATTTCCGTCAGATTTAACGCAAATGTAACAAAATGCCAAGGAACGCAGTAAATGAACCAACACGTTCAAGGTAAAATAGGACATTATAACTGTTTCACAAAAAGAGTAGATAACTTCTGTGATCATATCTTGCTACGGAGAGTAACATCTAAAGCTGAATTTGTCCACAACCTTGAGTGGACTTAGAAAATTTTCTAGACTTCTAATTCAGAAACTAGGCCAGGTGGTTAGGGCGCTCGACTCGCAATCTACGGGTCGCGGGTTCGAATCCCCGTCATACCAAACATGCTCGCTTTTTCAGCCGTGGGGGCGTTATTATGTTACGGTCAATCCCACTATTCGTTGGTAAAAGAGTAGCCCAAGAGTTGGCGGTGGGTGGTGATGACTAGCTGCCTTCCCTCTAGTCTTACACTGCTAAATTAGGGACGGCTAGCGCAGATAGCTCTCGTGTAGCTTTGCGCGAAATTCAAAAACAAACAAACCCTCTGTGTATCGCAAAAAAAAAAAGTCACTAACAGAATACAACCAAACTGAGACTTTTCGGCTAAAATTCCTTCAGTAACATTAGTACTTGTGTTATCTACTATAGCATATGTTATTATACACGCAGACCAATACAGGTTAAGCATAGTATTTAACAGCAGAGGACATTTATTGCCAAGATGGTCACAAACACCAGTCGTAAAAGTATTATGATATCGTGCTGCTATCTGTAGATTGATCTACCTACTAAAAAATGGTATCGCAGAAAATAAATAAATACAGGCGAAATCTAACGAAACAAGATTTATTATAGCATAATACATTTTATTTACTGACTATGAGCTCATTCTACATGTGAAATTCACATGCTTTTGTGTGTATATATATATATATATATATTATCTCAATTTCGCACTTTAATGTACGAAAGCAATCTCAAATATGTGTTTTTTTCACATCAACATCCTTTTAATATGCAACACAAAGTATAACCTGACTCCTTGGAACAAAAGGATTGTAGAGTCCATTTAACATCCAGATCTATTACAAATCCTACAGTTATGCCAACAATAAATATTGTATGTACTATATATAATACCATCAGTTGTGCTACCTGTTCAATAATAAAATGGCCACAACAATCTGCAAGTTCACAGCACCCATTACCATTGCTTGGGGTACTCTAATCGAATGGCTTCGAAATGGGGATTACGATTTTGCATTAAAAGGACACAAACCGATTATCCTCCTATCCACAGACTGATGTACTAAGTATTAGGCCATACGGGCACTGTTCTGTTTTCTAAAGGAAAAAACATTTTTCTATTTCATTCATTGATATCCACCAGGTTATTTTAAGCATCCACAAAATGCATGTCCCAGAAATGTTATTCAGAGAATGATTTCGTTCACAAACTGCAAACGTCGGAAACAGACGCAAAGGTACAAATATCCAATATATTTATACATACAATAATGGGTATTTGCGGTTTATTTGCATTTATCTGGCCAGATTCTATTTGATGAATAACTTTTACTTGCTGCCGAGGTAGAGAGCACACTAAAAGCCACAAATAGGATAAATATACGCGCAAGATTTATTGAACATTACACTGTTTAGTCAGTCAAAAGTCCTAGTTCGGTATCTCACCATCCTCAGGTTAACTATGTCAACAATCATTCCCATTAAATAAGAATTGTTTGCTTGTTTTGAATTTCGCGCAAAGCTACACGAGGGCTATCTGCGCTAGCCATCCCTAATTTAGCAGTGTAAGACTAGAGGGAAGGCAGCTAGTCGTCACTACCCATCGCCAACTCTTTGACTACTCTTTTTACCAACGAATAGTGGGATTGACCGTGACATTATAACGCCTCCACGGCTGTAAGGGCGAGCATGTTTGGTGGGACGGGGATTCGAATCCGCAGATTGCGAGTCGAGCTCCCTAACCACTTGGCCATTAGAATAAAAAAGACTCCACTCCAGGAGGGCATGAAAAAGAAACAAAGTTAAATAATTATAAATCATATGGAACGTTCATTGTGGTTTCTAACCTTTATCTAATATAAGTTTATGATATTAACAAATCTGGTTTCTTATGGTGTCATAACTACACGTAGAACGTCTGTACAAATATTTAGAAAACATATCTGATTATCATAAATAAAATATTCAACACTATTTGTGAAAAGGTAAACTATGGCGATTCTACTCTTCCTTATCTTAGAGTTTTGCTAGATCGAAAGACTAAGATTAAATGTTAAAAGCCAGAAATGGAAGTTAACTACTCTTGTTTGCAAGTACAATAATCATCTTCTTAGACCACACAAACAACACTATGACACTTACATAATCACAAAAAATGGTAACGAAATTAGACTTAAAGGTTCTAACAGCTAGTTACAAATAAAGAAAATCAAGATAAAAGGGATCTCAACTATAAAATTTAAATTTAAACATGTTACAAAGGGACAATACAATAAAAAAGAAAAATCTAATTACAAACTTATGATAATAACACAGATCACATCATATTATAGGCATATACAAATTTACACTTTTCTGCAGGTCTAGCATGGACGTTTGTAGTGCTTCTGTTCCTTTTCTGTATATGGTGATAATTTATCAGGTTTCCATCTCCAGAATCAAACCCTGATTTGCCATTATTCATTTCAATCATAGTGGCTATTCAGAAATTGGATAATGCAAGAGGGAGTGGGGTGTACAAATTAGCAATATACAATGTTACAGGGGATG